TTTTTTTTTTTTTTTTAGTGTATTCACAGAGTTGTGTAGCAATTGCCACACTAAATTTTAGGACATTTTCATCACTCCAAAAATAACCCCTATACCCTTTAGCAGTTCACCTCCCATCTCACCTGCTCCTCTTCAAAGGAGCCCTAGGCGACCGTTATCTATGTTCTGTCTCTATGGTGGATATCTCATATAAATGAAATCATACGACTTGTGGTTGTTTGTGACTGCCTTCTTTCACTCAGGATAATGTCTTCAGGGTTCATCCATGTTGTAGCATGTCAGTACTTCATTCCTCTTTATTGCTGAATAATATTCCATTGCATTCCACTTTAAGTCATTCATCGGTTGATGGGCATTTGGGTTGTTTCCACTTTTTAGCTGCTAGGAATAATGCTGTGTGAACATTCATTTACAAAGTTGTAGTGTAGGTACGTGTTTTCATTTCTCCTGGATATATATCCAGGAGTAGAATTGCTTGACATATATGTATTCTTTATACATACACATAAATATATATAATTTCCCTTTGATCTAGGACAGGGTTTCCTTTTGATTTAGGACAATACTTCACCACTTTTTTTCTTGCCTCTCACTGCTCCCATGCATAATACAATTTCAGCTCATCTCATCAAATGTAGGGAGAGTGGGAGCAAGATGAGAGGATGTCACCTCATTAATTGGGAAAAACTGACAACTGAAGGCTAACTTTGTAGACACTTGGTCAGGCATGGTATAATTGTAAGTTAAAAATATTTAAAAGAATAAATTGGTAGTATTTTTGTTCTCTACCACTATTTCTCATCTGTAGGATAAAGAAATTATATAAGATCAAGATTTTTAACCTAATATAATCCTTTAATTCTTAACTAGGGTCTGTGAATCCCCTGAAATTTTATGTGAAATATTGTATGTATTGACTGGAGACAAGAACTCTACATCAATAATTTTTATTTCTTTGTGTTTAGTACTTCTTTTGAGTCTTAGGACAAATATAGTTGAAGAAATTAACTTCTGTGATAGGCTGAAAAATCTTGAGCTAATGACAAAAATCAACTAAATTCTTCTGAATCCCTTTTGGCTTTTTCCTATGATGATTTTCTCAGAATTGTAAAAATCATCTAATATTAGGTAACAGTTTTGGTAACAAGTTACATGCTCATTATAGAAAAATTATATAAGCAAAGAAATATTAATAATTTTCCTGATGTCAATACTCAGTGAAAAGTCACTATCAACTGTTAATTTTTTGTTGTATATTTTTTTCAGTCTTGTGTTCCATTACTGTGTGTTATGTGTGTGTGGTTTTAGAAAAAGGGGGTCATACTATTCTCATTGTTT